TCCTGGCTAATCCATACAAAACCAAAACCAAATTGAAATAGAATATGTTTGATGTGTGTAGCCCATGTAACTCTGCCAGCATCATCAAGAGACTTAAATAATATTGATGAGGTAGCCTATTTCTATCTGGAGTGATTAGTCTACACCAGTACTTGACTGCCCGTCACATGTATGTAAGCTGAAGTGGAGCTCTACCACATTCACCCAGTACCATACTATTGCATGTACTTTTACCAACTTTCAGGAAATATTTGCACATTCTTATCTGAACATATTAGTAGTTTTACAATATGTTGTTCCCCAGCTTTCTGACCCATAGCACAATATTGGTGTAACCATTGCATCAAAAATCCTGAAAAGATCAGTACAATTAATATTACCTACTCTCTTTTGATACCTGTATATTGCCATTATGGCTTTATTTGCTTGTGATGCAAGGCAGACCTGTGCTTTAGTCCAGTTAATTCACACACATTTTCCAAACCAATTATCTTTTTTGTAACTGTAATGCAGTATCAGTTACTGATTTGATTGGTTATAAACTTTCAGCATACAGAATAATAGATGAAGGCCATAATCTTGTAGTCGTGTAGCTGTACGCTGCCATCTTTGTTATCAGCAAGTTCCCAAATTCTTAACTGAATTCTCTACTCTCTAAACAGGGCCAATCTCATTAACATCTTATCTCAGTTCTCGCTACCGCTAAACAAAGATCTGAGGAAATCCTATTACGGGTCATGCCAGAACGACCTTTCATCTGACCAATCAGAGCATCGCTCACCAGATCAGGAAAGTGACATTGGGAATGTGTTTTCTAATCAAGCAACCTCGTAAACTTAAACACGATGTATTCTGACCGACAGAACATCGACTGAAAACGTCCAAATCTTCGGCTAGCTCTTGCTTCAATGTGGTAATCATTGGAACGGAACAGACTGTGTATTGCATGTGGGAAGTACTGCCATACAATCGAGGCCATCTATCAGCAATTTAAAATGTTCGTTTGTTCAGTTTTCAAATTTCGAATCGAGAATTTGTGAGAATATGTTTCGAAGCGGAGTCGCCAGTTTGAAACTAGTGTCGTACAGCTCGGGAAAGCTGCCTTCTGATTGGCTAATGTCGACTTCTTGTCAGTCAGACCACTGGTCGGGCAGAGTTAGCGAAAGGTCGGTCTGACGTGACCCGTAATCATCCTCTATATCTCCAGGGCTAGAGTTCTCGCAATATTAAATTACCTGCCATAGATTTTCATTAACATTTTACCAACCAATAAAACATCGAGACAAGGAAATAGAAAATGTGTAAGGGAGGTAACCCGTATTGCCAACAAATCAAAGCCACCGCCAGTTTTGATGGACACGAAGACATCCTTTCATTGAAAAAGATATTTGAGAGGTTTCCTTTGCGTGTCAGTCAGTTTTTTTCAGATCTAAATTTCTCGCAAACACCATAGTAATCAGTAGGACTGGCCGCTACGTTGCTGATATACCAACACATCATTGAGATGTTTGATGTTTGTTTTGTTTGTTTGTTGTTTAACACCGCACTCAGCAGTATTCCAGCTAAATAACGGCGGTCTGTAAATAATCGAGTCTGGACCAGAAGATCTAGTGATTGACATCACGAGCATCGATCCACGCAACTGGGATACGATGACATGCATCAACCAAGTCAGCCAGCCTGACCACCCGATCCCGTTAGTCGCCTCTTACGACACACAGTCGCTTCTACGGCAAGCATGGGTTGCTGAAGCCATATTCTAACTGTGTAACTCGTATTCTGATTGGTACGCTAGACCTTGTAGCGTAGCCAATCAAATTGGCTGAAGGAAACAAAGGGCGGGTAATTTTAGATTGCGAGAAGTACGGGATGGGTCAAGGGGTTAGTGTAGATTTACCGAAAAGTCACTCCAGGTTTGTTTGGTTTGTTCGTTGTTTTAAGCCGCACTCAGCAATATTCCAGCTATGTGACGGCGGTCTGTAAATAATCGAGTCTGGACCAGACAATCCAGTGATTAATATCATGAGCATCGATCCGCGCAATTGGGATCTATGACATGCATCAACCAAGTCAGCGAGCCTGACCACCCGATCCCGTTAGTCGCCTTTTACGACAAGCATAGTCGCCATTTACGGCAAGCATGGGTTGCTGAAGACCTATTCTACCCCGGATCTTCACGGGTCGCCAACCCATGAGAGATATAGGGATGACCGTACTGGATGTCCTCAGGTCTTTGTGCAGCGGTAACGAGAACTAAGATAGGATTTTAATGAGATTGAAACAGCGCATGACCTCAGCATTACTACTTTTCTCTGTTACGCGAACACTTGAGCCTTACAACTGCCCGGAGAGTGCACCGACACACATCCAACAACCACACATTGATAGTTGAGTTTTAGTTTAATTGTTGTTTAACGCCGCACTCAGCAATATCCCAGCTATATGACGGCGGTCTGTAAATAATCGAGTCTGGACCAGACAATCCAGTGATTGACATCACGAGCATCGATCAACACAATTGGGATACGATGACATTCATCAATCATGTCAGCGAACCTGACCACCCGATCCCGTTAGTCGCCTTTTACGACAAGCATTGTCGCCTTTTACGGCAAACATGGGTTGCTGAAGACCAATTCTACCTCAAACGCTGGCATGCAGTCAATGTGCTGTGCGGAACGCCGGCCTGTATAAAGCGTTGTAAAATTACTTACCCAGTGTTGATAGACTTACATCTTCCCGAGGCAAGAGAGTTAACTGACTATAAAGTGTCCTTGCCGAACTAGGCTGGATTTATGGAGTTACATTTTGACTGGACTAACGAGTCTATGCATAGTCCAATCAAAATCGCGCAACAAAATCGAAATCCGGTTCGTAAACTGTCATGCAGATTTCGGTCGATTGCAAAGCATATGCACTGCCAACTCGTTGTCAACAGATATTCTTCAAACCTTTTCATGTTTTCGATCAAGGTGCTCACATGATTTGATGCACTTCGCGATGTAAGACCCGTTTTATCACAATATAGATCTTGATTATCGATCAGATCGTCTTGACAGGGCGCCGCCATTTTGATTGAAACAAATGCAAGTAATGGAATCTGATTGGTCCATAGGAAAGGCTTAAAAGGGACATAACTGGTAATAACTACGATCGCGCCCAGGAATTCCAGCCTAGTTCGGCAAGGGTGGAAACTGGACTTTTAATATCAGTTAACTCTCTTGCCTGGGAAAGATGATAGACTTGCGACTTCGTCTCTATCTTCACCGGTTCAAGGCAATTTGTCAAAAAATGAAAGCAAATTTCCTCTCAAATTTACTGACGAAGCATCATGTGACACGTTGGAATTTCCCATAGATAACATCAATGTGAAAGTTTGGGGTAGGACATTTAGGCAAGAAGTAGGCATCCCCATAGACTTCAATATATTTTGCGTTTATGGTGGTATAAGGTGAGGTGAAATGGGGTTTAACGTCGCGTCCAAGATTATTGCACTTATATAGCAACGTGCATTTACGTGTGTGTGTGTGTGTGTGTGTGGCTGCTTGTACTAGTCCGGACTGATGCCGATTTATAGTGCTAGCTGACTGAGATACCATGCCGCAGTTTAACCTGAATACCCCACTCAGACACAGTATACTGACTCCGAGCCGACCAGTCCTTGTTTGAGCCCCTTAATGCCGAGCGCCAGACAGGGTAACAACAAGTACCATCTTTTAACGTCTTTTGGTATGACATGTCGGGGATCGAACCCCGGACCTTCCGCTCTCCGGGCGGACGCTTTACCACTAGACCACGGATTTTCGTGTTTAGGGAACATAGTAGGGATCATGTTATTGCAAATTCATCTTCACTGAACCAATGTTTTGACACGAAATTACCCAGCCACAGATTATTTTTTACAAACTGTTGCAGAAATGAGTGATGGTTAAATTGACATAATCAAATCTAACAACAGGTCTTTAAATTTTCAATTACAAAAAAAAGACCCGTGAAGATTCCGGGGTAGAATAGGTCTTCAGCAACCCATGTTTGCCGTAAAAGGTGACTTTGCTTGTCGTAAAAGGCGACTAACGGGATCGGGTGGTCAGGCTCGCTGACTTGGTTGATGCATGTCATCGATCCCAATTGCTTGGATTGATGCTCATGATATCAATCACTGGATTGTCTGGTCCAGACTCGATTATTTACAGACCGCCGTCATATAGCTGGAATATTGCTGAGTGCGGCGTTAAACAACAAACCAACCAACCAACCAATTACAAAAAAAGCAAACTTGGTATACTTTCTTTTGCCCCTCAGTATTTATTTTCAACAATGAATATCTTCCAAGGTGTATATCCCCAATAGTATAGACCACCTCTGTGGTGTAGTGGTAGAGCGTCCGCCCGGAGAGCGCAAGATCCGGGTGCAATCCCCGGCCGCGTCATACAAAAAGACGTTAAAAGATTAAAGGTACTTGTTGTTACCCTGTCTGGCGCTCGGCATTAAGGGCTAAAACAAGGACTGGTCGGCTCGGAGTCAGAATACTGTGTCTGAGTGGGGTATTCATGTCAAACTGCGGTTTGGTATATATATTTCAGTGGGCTAGCACTATTTATAAATCGGCATCAGTCCGAACTAGTACACACTTGTGTATGCACGTCGCTACATAAGTGCAGTAATCTTGGACGCGACGTTAAACCCCCTTTCACCTCACCACCTCACCTTAACCGTGTATATCCTCAACAGTAAATGCGCTACAAGCATGATCTCCGTTGGCAAAGTACGTCTTTATTCCCACTGCACACTCTGTTTAAACTCGGGGCGGTCGGGTAGCCTAGTGGTTAAAGCGTTCGCTCATCACGCCGAAGACCCGGGTTCGATTTCCGACATGGGTACAATGTGTGAAGCCCATTTCTGGTGTCCCCCGCCGTGATACTGCTGGAATATTGCTAAAAGCGGCGTAAAACCACACTCACTCACAGTTTAAACTAAATTCTATGTGCTTGTCTTTCCAGCCAGCACTGGAGTAAGACCATCGGCTTTTATGGTGGGGACAAGCGCCCATCGCTACCCCGCCAGCTACGAGCAGCAGTCTGAAGTTTTGATCTACGACTCCATCTCCACCAACGTCGGCGAAGACTACGACAACAAAACGGGCATCTACTCGGCGCCACTGAATGGAACATATAGCTTCACCGTAACTTTCGCAGCCCACGCAGGGAAGGAGGTAGGTGACGAGGAACACAATCACGAACCTAAAGCTGATCTTTTGAGTAGGCCCTGACGGCTGGGCGGTAATGATGTTGTTCACAATATAACGGTCTGTCGCTGTCTGTTCAACAGCAGCTTGCAGGCTAAGTGGGGACGGAGAGTAATAGTGTTGTTCACAATATAACAGTCTGCCGCTGTGTATTCAACAACCAGTTGGTAGGCTATGTGAGGACGGAGAGTAACAGCGTTGTTCACAATATAACAGTCTGTCGCTGTCTATTCAACAGCCGCTGGTAGGATATGTGAGGACGGAGAGTAATAGTGTTGTTCACAATATAATAGTCTGTCGCTGTCTATTCAACAGTAGCTGGTAGGCTATGTGAGGACGGGAGTAATAGCGTTGTTCACAATAAAACAGTCTGTCGCTGTCTATTCAACAGCAGTTGGTAGGCTATCTGAGGACGGAGAGTAATAGTGTTGTTCACAATATAACAGTCTGCCACTGTGTATTCAACAACCAGTTGGTAGGCTATGTGAGGACGGAGAGTAATAGCGTTGTTCACAATATAACAGTCTGTCGCTGTCTATTCAACAGCAGTTGGTAGGCTATGTGAGGACGGAGAGTAATAGTGTTGTTCAAAATATAACAGTCTGTCGCTGTCTATTCAACAGTAACTGGAAGGCTATGTGAGGACGGAGAGTAATAGTGTTGTTCACAATATAACAGTCTGTCGCTGTCTATTCAACAGTAACTGGAAGGCTATATGAGGACGGAGAGTAATAGCGTTGTTCACAATATAACAGTCTGTCGCTGTCTATTCAACAGTAACTGGAAGGCTATGTGAGGACGGAGAGTAATAGTGTTGTTCACAATATAACAGTCTGTCGCTGTGTATTCAACAACCAGTTGGTAGGCTATGTGAGGACGGGAGTAATAGTGTTGTTCACAATATAACAGTCTGTCGCTGTCTATTCAACAGTAGCTGGTAGGCTATGCGAGGACGGAGAGTAATAGTGTTGTTCACAATATAACAGTCTGCCGCTGTGTATTCAACAACCAGTTGGTAGGCTATGTGAGGACGGTAGTAATAGCGTTGTTCACAATATAACAGTCTGCCGCTGTCTATTCAACAGTAGCTGGTAGGCTATGTGAGGACGGAGAGTAATAGTGTTGTTCACAATATAACAGTCTGCCGCTGTGTATTCAACAACCAGTTGGTAGGCTATGTGAGGACGGTAGTAATAGCGTTGTTCACAATATAACAGTCTGCCGCTGTGTATTCAACAGTAGCTGGTAGGCTATGTGAGGACGGAGAGTAATAGCGTTGTTCACAATATAACAGTCTGTCGCTGCCTATTTCAAAGCAGCTAGTAGGCCGTCGGCGGATGGGGACGGAGGGGCGATAACGGTGTTGCTTACTATATGAAACAGTCTCTGCTTGTCATTTTTACAGGCAGCTGGTGAGTTGCGGACGAGCGGGAGCGACACAGTTGTAGGTCGAGTATGGGCCATCAGCCGCCCCTCCTGGTCGATGTCCTCAAACACCTTCGTCATCCAGCTACGGGAGGGGCAGGGGGTGTGGGTCAAGCCCATCAAGTCAGCAATGCAGCTCTATGGAAACTTCTACTGCACATTTACAGGGCATGCCTTGTTCTACGACTAAATAACACCCTGTGCTAGACCTAATAGACATTAACACGTTGTGCTAGACCCAACACACATTAACACGTTGTGCTGGACCCAACACACATTAACACGTTGTGCTAGACCCAGCACACATTAACACGTTGTGCTAGACCCAACACATATTAACACGTTGTGCAAAACCCAACACACATTAACACGTTGTGCTAGACCTAATAGACATTATTACGCTGTGCTAGACCCAACACACATTAACCCCTTGCTGTAGACCCAACACACATTAATACGTTGTGCTAGACCCAGCACACATTAACACGTTGTGCTAGACCCAGCACACATTAACACGTTGTGCTAGACCCAGCACACATTAACACGCTGTGCTAAACCCAACACACATTACCACGTTGTGCTAGACCTAATAGACAGTATTACGCTGTGCTAGACCTAATACACATTAGCACGTTGTGCTAGACCTAATACACATTAACACGTTGTGCTAGACCCAACACACATTAACACGTTTTGCTAGACCCAACACACTTTAACACATTGTGCTAGACCCAACACATATTAACACGTTGTGCTAAACCCAACACAAATTACCACGTTGTGCTAGACGTAATAGACATTATTACGCTGTGCTAGACCTAATACACATTAGCACGTTGTGCTAGACCCAGCACACATTAACACGTTGTGCTAGACCCAGCACACATTAACACGTTGTGATAGACCCAACACACATTAACACGTTGCTGTAGACCCAACACACATTAACACGTTGCTGTAGACCCAACACACATTAACACGTTGTGCTAGACCCAACACACATTAACACTTTGTGCTAGACCCAACACACTTTAACACGTTGTGCTAGACCCAGCACACATTAATACGTTGTGCATTCACAACCATGTAACACTTTGTATTTAAATAATTCAAGGCATATTGTGTTGTTTTGTTTGTTTGTTTGTTTTTGTCGAGAAGAGACATTCTTCATCCATAATTCATCATGTCGTATTTCGGCATCCGGTATAAACCACTTCACTCGTGAACGTATTCTGTGGAAGCGATTACTACTGCTTATAAACCTAACTCGATATGGAGTTTTTGAAATTGTGGTAACACCTCGTAGGAGGTATTAGAACGATTGTAATACCTCGCAGGAGCGCTTACAATCATTGTAAACCCTTGATAGAACAAAAACTACGAACAGCCTACGAGACGCACGTGCAGATTTCGTGCCATTGCGAGACGCACGTGCAGATTTCGCACCGTTGCGAAACCCACGTGCTGAGGTCACCGGTTTCATTGAACCGAGTTCACGACTACAGGCGATATTTCATCTCCGATACAGGTTATACATGTGAGAGTTTTTATACCAGTTATTTAATTAAAAACGTTGTCTATGCGATGAGTCGGTTTATAAGTTGGAGAAACCATTTCTCCTCGGGATTACCAGCCTACGACCCCCTCGGTATGTCACCGAATGTCAGGGTTAACAATCGCTGGTAATCCCTCGTAGAAATGGTTTCTCCTGTACCTAACCAACCATTTGTTAACTCAGCAATATTCCAGCTATATGACGGCGGTCTGTAAATAATCGAGTCTGGACCAGACAATCCAGTGATTAATATCATGAGCATCGATCCACCCAATTGGCATCGATGACATGCATCAACCAAGTCAGCGAGCCTGACCACCCGATCCCGTTAGTCGCCTTTTACGACAAGCATAGTCACCTTTTAGGGCATGCATGGGTTGCTGAAGACCTATTCTACCCAGGAATCTTCACGGGTCCATCACTAATTGATAGTGATTCATTAACACATGCTTGTGATATAGTCAAATCGTATAACCGACTTATATATAAGTTTTTAGTGCCTTTTATTTCAAGTATTTTTATAAAGTCAAAACGTGTTGTAAACTCAATAAACAGGGAGGAGTGATATCGGAACAGGTCGTAATTGTCATATATAGTTGTGGTTGACAGACCTATCATTTCCCCAGAATGTCAAACACGCACGTATCACCGCTGCGAGTCGGAACACTTCTCCACATTTGTGTTGAGTAAACATGGTTAATGATTAGCAGGCCAGATATCCGGGATATGGCTTGTTTAACAACAGATCATAACACACGAGGCGTGATGATGCTGGGTGACGTCGATGATGGTGGAGATATTGTCACACAGAACACGTCCGTCACTTCTCCAGCTGCCCCAGTGGATGAGGGAGGTCGGTGCGGGGACACAGGAGAGGGTACAATGACAGGAAGTCGCAGTTTACCAACGCCAGAAAATTACCGGCGATGGCCGCATGCGGTGTTAAATAATGATAGAAATTGCAGGGATTTGCTCCCTTGAATAATATCAATTTTCACGTTGAGCAAATCAGTGTCAATCTGCCTGAGATAATTTCGGTAAGTTATGAGTGCTTGTCGTTTCCCTCTGCCCCGCAGGCCGGTTAGTGCTTCAGGATATCACCTTCGTTTGTTGTTTAACGCCGCACCCAGCAATATTCCAGCCACATGAGGCGGTCTGTAAATAATCAAGTCTGGACCAGAGAATCCATTTATTAACATCATGACCATCAATCCACACAATCAGGTCACGATGACATGCATCAATCAAGTCAGCGAGCCTGACCACCCGATCCTGGTAGTCGCCTCTTACGGTAAGCATGAGTTGCTGAGGACCTGTTCTACCCCGGATCTTCACAGGTCTTTTTTTTACTAGTGCTAGTTCCTCCTATTGAGACCATATTGAGACAAGTCTCTACCTTGACTTGTGGGCTGGCTGACTGTATACTCCACCAGCAGGGGCACCTGCTGTTGCTGTCTGTCCATATGTCCGACTGGGGCCATAGTTGCTGGCATCCTGTCCCATGGCTGTAACAAACATTTACGTGTACATTACACGGTTATGACCTAGAAGTATTATGCACAATCAAATCGCTATATGGTTATGATAATATCTAACCAAAACCCTGTATTTTTTTTTATTTAAAGTTTACACGATATACGGCTTTCCCATTGGACTAGAGGTAAGTCACATGCCCGCGAAATTGACGTTCATAAATGTATGAACGACACAATTTGACATTCATACGTTTTTCACGAGACGGTGTTTTTGAAATGACGTAAACACTGACGGACTACTTCCACATTCCTGGGGGAACCCCTGGGAATTCCCTAGCACGAATACATACAGAAGCGTTCTTTCTGATCATTTATACCCTTTAATCTTGAACTCAGCGTTTTAGTATGCATTGAGAAACGTCAGAGGGTTTGACTGCTATATTACGGCGGTAAATAATAATCAACTTCACAAGTGAATGACAGACAATCCAGTGATAGACATCAAGATCATCGATCTACGCAGTTGTGATATATGTAATTGGCCATTGGCGTTTGGCTAGAATGTGTTGATTTGTTAACGTTGTAAATTAACATGTGGTCGCCGAGCATGCAGATTAGCTGCCTGCAGAATTGAACGTCGGTGGTCTGGCGCTAGTGAACAGCGGTTTGATTGACTGTTTGGGCTTGATACAGGTTAAAGTCTGCATGGTTTCTGTGTAATCGATCCAGGAATGATGCTGTTGACCTAGGGCGCCCTGTGCGGGGCCGATCATTAACATTGTGTGTCTGTGGAAACATGTTCGAAAGTCTGCAAATCGCAGACTGAGACACATTGAAATATTGGTTCCATCTAGCTGAGTTCTACCAGTTTGAAAATGCCCTACGTGTTCATCGGCTTGTAGACGACGCATTCCCAAACAGATCACAAATACAGCTGTAAAGCACTAGTTGAGGGCTTACGTGTTACTGTGGATGAAAATCAACAATACATAGCGATCAAGAAATCAGTGAGTGAGTTAGTGAGTTGGGTTTAACGCCGCGTTTAACAGTATTCCAGTTATTCCAGCGGCGTGTCAGCTTAATGTGGGAGGAAAGCCCAAAGTGATGCAGGTCTCAGACGTTTACCACTTCGGTGAAACCCACGAGCACGGGTATGGTGCTGACAAACCTAGAAACATAATCGGGGCGAACCGGGATTCGAACCCACAATCATAGGTTTCTGGCGTCCCCAAAGCACGCAGCTCTGCACAGCGAATCGCGGCGCCTTAGGCGACTGGGCCACCCGTGTTAGTCTAAAGAGAGACATGTCTTGTGCAATAGAATATTTTAAAGATTATAAGTTAAGGTGACTTCACACGGGCAACATAAGTTGCCTAACTCTTAGACGTTTCTCAATCGTGTTGGCACACGACAAATATGTGTTGCAATTAGTTACTTTCTCTTCACTTCTAAATGCGAATTCCATTTTGTAGCAGATGTAAGTAAAATCGTGTGGTATGTACACAGCATCTGATATTTGACAACCATTCTCAGGTCAAAATCAAGTTCGAAAACACTAAAATATCGCCAATTAAAGTTTTGATGAGAAGAGATCGATTCTATTTCTCGCCACCAGTCGACCTTGCTTCACAAACCAGTTATCAAACTTTTTTTCGCATTGTTCATACACAAACTTATGTGTGTAAACATAAATCCACAAACATAAGTTTGTCGTATGAAGGCACCTTTAGTCTAACCACCACTCATAAATATAAAACGTGATATTCATAAAGGAAATGACCCGCAATCGAAACATTTGGAGTTTCTCAGCCGGCATATTTCCTTGAGATAACGTGTTAATAGCGACAACTGAAGACGCAGTAGTGATACAACTTAATTCTCCGACAGGGGTTAGGTTCCGGTCTTGGACGGTTAAACTGAAACGGATCAGACCCTTGACATCAACACTGATTGTCATCTGGTCATGTCGATGGCCATCGACTGTCACAAGTGGAATGGCCCACGGGCGTGTTGGTTGCGGTGATGTGTAAACGTCAGTGACATCACTGTATCAGCGGCTCAGGGGCATGTAACACTACACGCTGTTTGGTACTCACGCCGTCTTGTAGGATCCTTCTGTCAATCACCGGCCGGTGTCGGTGGCAACAGGGTGGGAGGCATCCACGTGGTGAAGACAGTTTGTACACACAGCTGGCAATACGCAAAACTGACTTTTGCCTGCCTTGCACCAAGGCTCTACTGACAGATAAGTCCATGGATGTGTAGTACATCTATCCTCCTAATAGGCAAGTCTAGATAAGATAAGATAAGATAAGATAATATTTATTGCAGAAACGTTCCATTACGGGACAGATGCAATTTTAAAAGACAAGACATTATGAGTTATATATACATATATACAGACAAACATAATTTACATTCCTGTAGACACATACAAAAACAAAATAATCAATATTACATATTTTTATACATAAAATGTCAACGGTTGATTATGAGGGGGTATTTATTGTTTGAAATTATAGATGTGGAAACAAATGCAGTTGATATTGACTGCTTCATTATTTGACAGGATGTATTGAAATAATTTGTCTTCATGACTGTGGACATTTACATTTACATTTTGTCTGGATAGTTTTTCAAATAGTATATTTCTTTCTCGAGTGTGTTTAATACAGTGAAGTAAGTAATGTTTTTCGTTATCAATGATTAAACATGTAGAGCATAGCCTCTAATGTAGTGGGGTTGGTGGCTTTGTGTGTCTTCCAAGTTCAATATTTAATTTATGGTTACTTAATCTTAGTTTAGAAAAGTGAACTCGATATTTTTTTACTTTACAGTGACTGAGATAGGGTTCTAATTTTATTTCATTTTTAACTATCCTATATGTCCTAAGTTTGTTTCCTGTGCCTCTTGTTGTATTTACATCTTGAAGAGATTCCTTGAAGAGGGAGTTGAATTTAGATTTGATTGTCTCTTTGAATATTGGTGAAAGCAAAGCTGAAATACTCAAATAGTGTTTTCCTAAGATATGTGGACAATCTAAGGATGATAGTTTCTTATAGGGACAACCTGTTCAAATCTAGAAATTACGGTTTAAACTAAGTGCCTTAGAGACTGTAACTTTGTCAAAAACACATTTTTAAACAATATAACATTAAGAGGGTTAGCCGTGTATTGTGGTTCCAAGTAGAATAATCATTAGACTGGATTATGTCAATGTGAATCAAGTTCAACCAGCTTGAACAGATCGCTAAGCAATCATGGCACACACACGCAAACTCGTACAGCAAACAAACATAAACTAACACAAACTAAAATTTAGTACCAGAAAATAGTTATATTATTACAAAAAGAATATATTTAAACCATATTTTATTTTCAAAATAAAAAGTAAAATCCAATGCTTAATTTCAGAGCTGAGGCAATCAACACTTGCCAAAATAATTCTAGGCTTGAGTCGGATTTGGTGTTTTTTTATTCATTCTCTAGGGTGCCAGACCCTAGAGAATAGATTCAAAAAACTAAACTTTGACAGCGTAGGCAGGAATGCACGCACATGACACCAATCTTCAGCATGTGTATATTACGTAATTGCTATTAAGGAAATAATATGTCTCGGAATTGTTTTAAGAATATATTTGATTATGAGTCTTAGAATTCGAGTGCAGTTGGTCCGAACAAACTCAAAGCAACAGCAATAGCTCGAATCACTGGGTGTCCGACGTTGGGGGGGGGGGGGGAATTCATGTCCCTGCCTACTCGGACCACCTTTCTGTAGCTATGTGTTCGTATAACATACATGTTGACGAGACGAGACTATTTTCATTTCATTGCAGCAACTGTATCTCAAAGGAACACGATCCACTTGACGCCCGTGACGCCAGACATGTACATGCAGTAGAAGTATATTTTCACACAGACCGACTCTCGTGAAATTACAATAATACGGAAGTCTTCTCCTCAAGTCTGAATGTCCGGCATCTACACTGGTTACAATAGGACGGATTTGCGTGAGAATGTTTCCCACATGTCGAGGAGGGAAGGATGAGGGGGGGGGGGGGGACGGGGGAGGGGTATAGGAAGAGCATCAGTCGATGAAGGAACATTTGTGAATGACACGCCAGCCCGCATGCATCAGATTCTACTAGATAGGCTCTTTCTCGGTTTATCAGGGCCATTCGTTCAAAGGTATATCACTGCCGAGGATGTAACTATTTGGATTTTTTTCACGCTGATGACAAGTGTACACCGTTTCACGCCTCTACTCATTCACAAGGACAGAGCTAATTGAATTCCGATGAACTTTAACTCGTGCGGTAATGTGATACACAGATTTACCACGAACCAGCATGTGGCTATAATTCTCGTAACTTCCTATCATGGAGCAGGATGGTATTCGTCACACAGCCATGACCACTTGTACCGTGAGTCCGTACTAGCCGAGTCCCACAGACCCGCGCGCGGCTCTGAGGCTGTCATCAAATGCGCTCACAACCTGAAGTCCTGCTCCCTCTCCCAGTAGTGCTAACTAGCGGGCCATCGTAGCTCCATCTCCACACGAGATGCGGATTTGTTGTGAGCAATTACACCTCCTGCGGGCAACCGTCAGACAAGTGCTTGTTTCCCACATCGTTCAACCACCACGGGATCAGAGCGCACGCAGTGTTTTACTTTAAATAATTCATTATGGAACTTATTTACGAGAATACTGATTGGCTGAAATGGTATTTCTTGTATACGTGCTTCTCTAGAACAACTGTCATTGCCTGGAGGTTTTCAACCTTGAAAGAGGTCTAGCTGTTGCATGTAGGTATGTGTGGAAATAGTTCCTGACGGTCTGAGAAGGGCATCACATCTTAACCGTTATATCAAGGGACGAAACAGTCGCTGAAAGACATGAGAAGAGATTTCTGGAGTGCAGGCAGATTACGACCAGTTTGATGTCTCTGTAGATTGCTGTTCCAGCCGAGCCCATATCAGTACATGGTCCCCCGATATCGGAAATGGTCTCTGGTTGGTGGCTCCTGTAGGTTCCTGCGTTTTCGTGACCGACTGTGTCGAGACAAGTCCCAGACAGGTCACGGTCCAGTGAAGCGTGACCTCCCTGTCAAGCGGAGAAGACAGATAGCCTCAACTTTGACCGGTACCTTATGTCTGAGACTTCTGACATTTACCATAGTTGTCAGCTGGACGGAGACAGCTGGCGTACATCGGCCTGACCCCTCCCTTGACCACAGACAACACACTTACAGGTAGGGTAGACACGATGTCGTTGTTTATATGTTCACGGGATTACAAAGCTCTTCAAAACAAAATTTTAAAAGGAGGCCTTCAGCCTCGTAGAATACATGGTTCAATAAAAAAATGTTGTACAACGTATTCCTCAGACTTGCACAACTCTCTAAGGCAAAAAATTACAAGTTTAAAACATAATTTCTAGATTATGTAAATAATAAGAATAAGTTGTCCCTATAAGAGACTGGAATCCTTACTGTCCGCTTATCTAGACTTGCCTATAATAGGGATAGATTACAATACACCCATGGACTTATTATTCAGTACAGCCTATGAGCAAGGCTACGTATCCCTGTGATATACTACTGTTGTTTGCCGCGGACGCCTTCGGTTCAAAATTAGGGGCCGCGATTATTGAGTGTACACGATATAACAAATATCTATTTTCTTTGATAAATAATCTGATATAAGATTACCATGCTTGGCGCCAACTGTGGATATTGATGTGGAATATGTGCGTTAGTGTATAGCGCTAGCATTAGGATAGCTTATGCACAAGTATGTTATTCTGTGATACCTCGTAATAATGACAAACGTTGCGTTATGCGTTTATCTCGGCTCATAAACTATCACCGTGTCATCCAGAATTGCATTATGTTTCTGACAACATCGGATAAACCTAGTAACCAGCTCATCTTCCAAGCCCAGGGATTGACGCGGTTGTCTTCCAAACCTAGGTTTTGAAATAGATAACCGCTAAACTTGCTTTGAAGTGTTACATTTCAATTGTAATACCTAGGTTTTACAGTTAACGTTTTATAAACATGCCTCTTGATGTGAACACAATTCTGTTTGATGATTGGTTAAAAGTCACACAAAACAAAAAAATTACATGACAATTACATGACGTGAATCGAACCTGCAACTCCACATACCGTGTTTTGTAACCTGTTTTCCCACTGTGCTACCGAGGCAGGTGATGAGAAGTTGTTAAATGTAACATGTCATGACTCCAGCTAGTCCATGCTGCACGTGGTTTTTCTCTCGCACGCTTTGAGCGAATTTCGTTTATACCGAGATACACTGTATTGTTTCACTATAAGGTATGTCGACGTTTTCTTATTTGGTCTGGAATATTTTGGATTTTTGTTGTTGCAAATGTAAAACCGCGAGCGAGGGAAACGTCCGAGGAAGGCGTGTTTTATCCGATACATATAATATCTTCGAACTTCAGGCGAAATCATCTGGTCACTAATCATCTGAAAATATTTACAGACGATAATGTTTGTAAGTAGTTGTTATTAGATCAAGTTTATACGAGAAAAACAATTTGTTCACACCAGTATCGAGCGAATATTTACTCGAGGTATGTCCACGGCTGTGTATGTCTAACTGTAGGTGATGGTGAATACCGAGGGTGTATCATACGAGAATACTGGCCAACTGTATGTTCATGGGTGTACAATACAAGAATATTGCCCAACTGTATATTCATGGGTGAACAATATAAGAATATTGCCCAACTGTATGTTCATGGGTGAACAATATAAGAATATTGCCCAACTGTATGTTCATGGGTGTACTATACACGAATATTGCCCAACTGTATGTTCATGGGTGTACAATACAAAAATATTGCCAAACTGTATGTTCATGGGTGAACTATACAAGAATATTACCCAACTGTATGTTCATGGGTGTACTATACAAGAATATTGACCAACTGTATTTTCATGAGTGTACTATACAAGAATAATACCCAACTGTATGTTCATGGGTGTACTATACAAGAATATTGACCAACTGTATTTTCATGAGTGTACTATACAAGAATATAACCCAACTGTATGTTCATGGGTGTACTATGCAAAAATATTGACCAACTATATTTTCATGAGTGTACTATACAAGAATATTGCCCAACTGTATGTTCATGGGTGTACTATACAAGAATATGGCCCAACTATATGTTCATGGGTGTACTATTCAAAAATATTGCCCATCTGTATGTTCATGGGTGTACAACACAAGAATATTGCCCAACTATATGTTCATGGGTGTACAATACAAAAACATTGCCAAACTATGTTCATGCGTGTACAATACAAGAATATTGCCCAACCATATGTTCGTGGCTGTAGAACACAAGAATATTGCCCAACTATATGTTCATGGGTGTACAATACAAAAGTATTGCCAAACTATGTTCATGCGTGTACTATACAAGAATATTGCCCAACTATATGTTCGTGGATGTACAATACAAGAATATTGCCCAACTGTATGTTCGTGGGTGTACAGTACAAGAATATTGCCGAACTGTATGCTCATGGAAGCACAATACAAGAATATTGCCCAACTATATGTTCATGGGTGTACTATACAAGAATTTTACCCAACTATATGTTCATGGGTGTACAATACAAAAGTATTGCCAAACTATGTTCATGGGTGTACAATACAAGAATATTGCCCAACCATATGTTCGTGGGTGTACAGTACAAGAATATTGCCCAACTGTATGTTCGTGGGTGTACAGTACACGACTATTGCCGAACTGTATGCTCATGGAAGCACAATACAAGAATATTGCCAAACTGTATGTTCATTGGTGTACAATACAAGAATATTGCCCATCTGTATGTTCATCGGCCTACTGTACAAGATGCTATGCGTCAAAATGACCTCCTTACTCTGAACTAGAATTATGTTGGAGTTGGCCATGCATAGTTCTAGAATCCATATATCATGACAGAAGATGAGAATAACGCTTTCCATGAAATAGCAATATCCTGTAAAACAGGATGTCATTGACAATGATACATTTGTAAGTCCTAACAAAGTGATTACTCATTCAAATTGGCTCTCAGGGAAATAGCGATTATAGGCCAGCAAATATAGTAATTAATTATCTTTGCGGTGATGACGTTGAGAGCTGTGTATGACTCACGAACTAAATAACCACAGACTGTACCGTTTGGGGTGAAAGTGCAGGTCATTGTCCTACCTGCACCGACTTGAACAATATTAAAGCGTTTTACTGTTTTTGTGAAGCAAGCAGAGATAGGTGAAAGATTATAGAATATCTGACGGAAGATAAAACCTGGTGACGCATGTAAAGGCAGTAAGCACATATAACGACACCTCGTTAATCTGAAAACTCCGCTTTAGTGACGGTAATTGTTGGGTGAGGTGAGGTGAAATTGGGTTTAACGTCGCGTCCAAGATTATTGCACTTATATAGCGACGTGCATGCACGTGTATGTGTGTGTGTGGCTGCTTGTACTAGTCCGGGCTGATGCCGATTTATAGTGCTAGCTCACTGAGATACCATGCCGCAGTTTAACATGAATACCCCACTCAGACACAGTATACTGACTCCGAGCCGACCAGTCCTTGTTTTAGCCCCTTAATGCCGAGCGCCAGACAGGGTAACAACAAGTACAATCTTTTAACGTATTTTTGTATGACGCGGCCCGGGATCGAACCCCGGACCTTCCGCTCTCCGGGCGGACGCTCTACCACAAGACCACGGAGGCGGTCGTTAATTGTTGGGAACGTCTCCATACACAAAACCTCGCTTCTCCGACACTGTTGAATATTTAATCCAGATATTAGTTAATCTGTATAGTCGTTAATCCGGGCGATTGCAGTGTTTCGTACTCTATTCAATGAAATAATGAAATGCTTCAGTCGATGATTTGAAGTCTTTTATTACACAATACATTTCTCTCCTCTAAAATAAAAACAAATATTTTTTTCTAAAATAATTCTCCTGATGCTTATTTGTGAAATAGAGCTGGCTAGAACTTGGCTAGATCCGACTAGACTTGCTTTTATGTTTATATGGTTGTGTTTTCATAAAATACAACACAGTCATGGTGCGGGATTAACTGATGATGAGCATAGTTATATAGCAGCTGAAACTGCTCTCATCCCCGTAAATCCCCCCCCCCCCCCCCCACCCCAAGTCAGAATGTACAAATTGTAGTTCAGTGAAAGTACATGAGGTATTTGAAGATAGTCTCTAAATTCCCATATGCATTCCATCTCGCGGTTAATGTCAAGAACCTTTGTTATGTAGAAGGATCCCAATATAGGCGTTGTGTATAAACTCGGAGCGGTGAGCAAGTCCATCTCTACACCACTGATTATGTTGAAAGTGCGGAAATGGTCCACAAGAACGCGACGGAGCCGACAACGCCGTGCCTGATAATAACACTACCTCCCATGTTTCGTCAGCCTCACACACACATCACATCGGACGCATTACCGGCGTTGCGATGTCGGGGAATTCGTTTAAGGTTTGTCTCACCTGCTTAGAGGGGCCAGTAATAGCTGAATATAAATTGGGCGCTCATGGCCACTGATTCCGCTCGGGCTTCGTTACAGACCCAATAGCTTCTGCTTGGAATGCATGCTGACTTTGTGTCATCGAACCCCGACGGTCTAGATCGTTGCTGATGTTAAACAGACAGCTGTTGTAATATCAATACCGTTGTACTGTTGACTAAAGCGTGCAACACTAATTGGGATACGATGACAAGCATCAACTAAGTCAGCGAGCCTGACCACCCAATCCCGTTAGTCGCCTCTTACGACAAGCATAGTCGCCTTTTACGGCAACCATGGGTTGCTGAAGACCTATTCTAACCCGAATCTTCACGAGTCACATCGTAAAAGTTATATGTGACCCTCTAACACTTCGCGATAAGTCTGTACGTATGTATTTAAAATCTTGTCGTGAGAGGCGACAAACGGGATCGGGTGGTCAGGCTCGCTGACTTGGTTGATGCATGGCATCGTATCCCAATAGCGTAGATCGATTCTCATGATGACAGTCACTGGATTGTCTGGTCCAGACTCCATTATATACAGACCACCGTCATATAGGTGGAATATTGCTGAGTGCGGCGTTAAACAATCTCATTAAATTTAGATCTTAGTTCTCCAGGGTTAGAAATTGGTACTAGTCCTATAGTCCTTGCCAAACTGCCCAAAAGTAAAGGTATCATAA